ATACACTACACTAGAACATACTATACAAATACAGGAATACTATAACATTAATGTGAGATACTACTGCATGGCTCGGCAATATACTGCTGTGTCACGTTTTGTACCCAGAGTCTCCTGGAGGGAGAGCGTGAATTTGTGTATAGATCTATACGGGATTGACCATCCCACACCTTGCTGCTAGCTACAGTGGGACCTGCAGGTCTACGGGTGATGAATGTCATATCATTTCGACGTCTCGAACGTCGTGTTATACTAGTCGATCAAGTATGGTTACAATCTTATCACATTTTACCTTAATTAAACAAACAGGTTTAAGGTAGTTAGTACATTGGTAGTTACTTAGATAAAACTACAGTACATCTTTATTTTCCCACTTCATTCACATTGTGATCTTCTCACATAAACGATAATGAAAACTATATTTTGGTAATGATAGTTTGGGAAAACACACACTTTTACAAAAGAACAAACATAAAGAACAGGTGGGTCTTGGTAGAAGACTACTTTAGTAGAAAATATAGGATTTTCTAAGAAGTTTACAAACATTTACACCAAACATTTACAAACACTTCCATATAAGCAATGACACTAAAATACTTATGAACTCACCAGCTTTAATGCTGATCTATGCTTTCAAAATAACTTGTATTCTCAGGTCACCAGTAGACAGGTACCGATGACCAGATTTTGAGAAGATGGAGCACATTCAAGACTCGTCTCTTATTTTGATTCATATTTTTGGTGTCTTATAAACTATACAGAACACACTTGTATTAAAATTATACTATAATGCAATGGATGATGTTGTTGCTTGTTTTACTATTATGCATTGTTGTGATACTGTACATGACGTCCTCCGCCCCCGAACGTTTCCGCCGTTCTGGTTTGGGGGTGTGACAGATTAGCTATAACTTGCTTGTTAAAAATCTCAAACCATGAACAATTTAGTGTATGAATTGGGGCTAGAATTTAATACATAATCATATTAGCATCGACAAAGATAATGGAGTAAACAAAAACCGAATATAAAATCACAATATCAGAATATAAAAGAACAAACCAAATTGAGGAAATAGAATCACAATGAAAAAAATCACAAACCAACAAATATGAAACGAGTCGTCGACGACGGCTGTGGACAAACGAGATGGAGGTGGTGGATGAACGCGATGACACGGTGCAACAGACGACGATGACGGTGAAACAAACCAAAGATGGAAGACGAATGAGCGTTGATAGGAAGCGAAGAGTCATTTCCGTGGTTTTGTGTTTGAATATTGGGATGAGTTTTAGATGGGAGGGGGTAGATTGTAAAGTTTGTTAAAACTGAAAAAAAAAATCGGCAAAATTGTCATTTTATTAAAAAATGTTATGTACAGTAAAAAGTCATTGTATATGAATCAACATAAATACTTTAAAAGATCTAATAAAGAGCGATACACAATTTTAGATATGTTTATCAAAATACACATATTTTTATTTATGTTTACAAAAATACACATATTTTTATTTTATTACTTTTTCCAATGAATATGGATTTAATTTTTTTTTTCCAATGAATACGGATTTAAGAGGTGGAATAGTTGTTTCACCTTGCAAAATAAGTTATGCTGCAGAAACATAATGTTATAAAAAAGTCACCTTTAACATTATAAAAAAGGCACTTTTATTACTACACCTACTTTGTAAGATCTCAGCCAAAAAGCTTTTCCAAAGCCTGCTTAATTCAGTAGAAAACAAAAAAACTCCATGGATTCTACTGCTTCATTCAGGATCAAATACTAAAGGCCATCTCACTGGAGTCCATCCCACTCAAAAACCACAATCATATCAACAAACTTGCTGCACACATCCCAAAATTCTTAACCTTTTTCTTCATCAATGGCTACGCAAGATCACCTCCACCTCCATGAACAACACCACAAACAGAGCTATGAAGAGCTGCTTTGCTCTTATTTAGGCATAAGTTTCGCAATCTTTCTAGGGTTCCTTCCTAAACAATCGCTTGCTTTGGTCACATCTCTCCAAACTCATGACGAATCACTCTCTAAAAGGCTCTTACAAGCAGAAGAACAACTCGAGCAGCTATACTCGCGAAGAAAGGAGGATTCCAAAGCGAATGCTAGGGTTGTTGAGATATTCGCTAGCCACCGCCACGGATGGCAGCAAGAAGAAAAACGCCTCCTCCGTCAGATCGACGAAAACGTGGAGGAGATTGCGAATTTGAGGGCTAAAGTGGAGGACCTCGAGATTAGGGTTGATGAGTTGAAAAGGGAAGTGAGTGAGAGAGACGAGTTGTTAAATTTTATGACGAATAGGGAGGATGATGGCGGAGGATACGGTGGCGACGGTGATGGAGAATTCTATGGAGAAATGTTGGGGTCTAGGTATGGGAAATTAAGGGTTTCAGATGAGGGGATTAACCATAACCATAACCATAACCATAACCTTAAGCATGATATCAATTACGGTAATAACAGTGTTATGGGAGATTGTTATATGGAAAGAGGGGTTCACAATGTGGATGATTTGGGCTCGATTTATGATGTGCATTCCATGTTTAAATCTTCAGAGTTTTCCAATTCCGAGGTTTCCAAGTTCTTGGCAGAAAGATCAAATCTTTGGCAGGTTATGAATGCTAATCTCCATTAAAGTTCATATGTTTGTTCTTTCATTACATGCATTCTTGTAGCTGAATGGTCCATCAAAACTTCAAATTCTGAATGATACCAAGTAATTTCATGAAGTTAAATTACTTATTGATCTCGTTAATTATTAAAATTAAGTTTAACTAATGATACCTTTTATCATGGGTGTCTTTATCAGCTACAGGTTGGCAATAGTGTCTCTATATAATATTAAACTCAACGTCTTGAATAAGATATTATTTGTATGTTATAGTTGTGAATTTAGGATGATAACTAGGAATCCCGATTTCTGTTTGGTGGTGGTGGTTGATTTCATCAATTGCAGTTTTGCAGTTTGAATGAAAGTTGGACCACTTCATCACTGGCTACCACTGCCCATGCAATTTTCCATTATTTCCATTTTTTTTATGATTTAAAGTCAAATCTTAAGCCAAAGAAATTGAAACCCGTTAGTCCTTTTCATATTTTGCACCAGTGACTGTTTTAATATATGTTGAAAAACTTAACTTATTAAGATAACCTTAAATCGTTCATAACATCAAAAAGTATGCTCTTAAGTGTTAAGCAATGGAACTAAATTGTTGTTGACCAGTTGGGTTGACTTTCCGAGTGCTAATTTCTGCAGGGTGTACAATATGAACCTGCCGAACAAGTTCATGATTTGAAGCACTATGTAACAAGGTAATCTTGCTTTAAAATTTAGATACATATCTATCATTAAGCATGAGTCTTTTGACATATCAAAAGTCAAAACTAAATCAATCATTTTTTTTTTATCAGGAGAGAATCCCCTTGGAAGGTGGATGGTGATTCATCCGGGGTTTCTGCAAAACTAAAATTGCTGGAACAAGAGCTTCAAAATTTGGAAAATATCGGATCAAATGATTTGTTAAAAGTCCCATCATTAATGAGAAAACAAGCAAAAAGATATCAAGCTCTATCCGGAAAAATCGATGATCTTTGCAGAAGAATGGTACCCACACACAACTCTAAATCCTCTTACATTATTTAATCATAATGTTATAGAGTCAAGTTTCATTAAAGAACCGAATCTAGGCCCTTGGATGAAAACAATCAACCGTCCGAGATTACAAAGCAGTTAGGCGGTTACATAACAGTTGGCTTGGTGGGGGCCCACAATTCTGTAACTGCCTAACTGCTTTGTAACCACCTACAAATCACGGCCGTGATTTGTAGGGGCCCACAATTGTGGTTTCTCTTTTGAACATGATTTTGTGTGCTTGTTTTTGAAAATAATTATGGTTATATAATATTTCAGCAGGAGAATGATCCTTGTGAACCAAATGTGGGTTTAGAGTTTCGAACACAAAGACAAACCGAGTTTTTACTAGAAGCACTTCGGCTTCAACAGCGTGCGTCTGAAACGGGTCAGAAGTTGATGGCATTACAAACAGAAACAGGGAATGGGAACGGGTGTAATTATGGTAGTGATTTGGTGGAAGGGCGTGCACGATTAACCACTAGACTCGCGTTAAACTCCATAAGAAATAATTTCAGGGATATTCAGAGAAATTTGGAGATATGGTTAGCCAGAATCATTGGTGATGTTGAAGGGATTTTGGCTAGAGATGGGGCTTCACGTGTCAATGAGTATTATATTTCTCCGAGATACCCTTTTGTTCAACACGAACGATTCTAAGTTTTTAACATTTTTTTTTGGTTTGATGAATTTAAAATCGATTGATTCATGGCTTGACGTGTACATGTTTTTGGCCAAATCTTTAAGTTGTGTTAGAATGTGGTTAAGCTTCCAACATTTAGAATGTTGACCTCCTTTCGGTGCATATGTGCATTGGATTATTTTGTTCTAACTACTGCAAATTTTCTGTATATTATTCCAACTAATATGTACTTCTGTTGCAAAAAAAAAAGGTCACACTTTTGTTCAGTCATAAACTCATGGTTATAATAGGAGTGTTATGGTCGTTTGATTTTTTATAAAATTATATGCTTTATGTCTTGTTATGTTAGAGTCTGCTTGATTTGTTATAATTGTATGATTTAGTTTTAGGCCACATTCATTTTATTTTATTAATATATTTTTTTTGCATCTAAGTGCTATTTGATAAATTGTTATATGAATGAATGATGTTTAAACATATAATTATATGACGAGATCAAATTTTTAAAAAGTATGAAGTTGATGGATTTTTTTTCCCAACTTTTATAATTTAGTCATTCTTTAAGTTCCAAGTCTTTAGAGTTGCAGAGCATTTGGAGATAGGCAATGGATGTTATGTCCTTATAAGGTTATACACAAAGTCTTTCATTTATGTGAAGCACATTACATGACCATTTTGCCCTTTGTGTCTATAAATGATACAAATACAAGGGCTGATAATTTCAACACATCACCATCAAGCACAAAAGGAACAATCACGTATATGACTGACTGCCGTGTCTAGATTTGGTGGGAATGAAAAATGATGATTTTTCACATTATTTTTGTTTCATGTGCCAAAATATGAAATAAGTTGAAAGAGAATAAGCTAAAATCCAACAGTTTAATGTCTGATTAAGATACCATTTCCATAAGTGGAGTCTGGATCTAGTACATTTTGGAGACACAAAAGACAGAAATCACCAACAATTAAAACATAATTCTTCTTCATAAACCCATATATATAATTAGGCATATATGCTCAACAAATTCAAGCAGCTGCTGCTTCAAGCAATTGTTTCACCTTGGTGATGTAGTCATTCATTGCCTCATCCTTGGATTTTGCTGTCAATCACAACAACAGAAACCACATTAATACAACAAAAAAATACAAAAAATAAATATATATATTTTTTTATAAAAAAAATATACACCTTCAACAGCCTTCCAAGCATCCCATTTAGCCCTGTCTCTCATGTTGAACATGCCCGGACGACCTATAAATCCAACAGAATAAACGCTTAAAAATGTCGTATATAAATGATGAGGATGAGGAGGAGGGCATTTAAGTCTTTTACACAAACACCAGTGTCAAATGCAGCAAGATAATAGGATACGTACTAGTGTTCACTGGTCCCACTGTGGCTTGCTTGAACAATCCGTACAGTATGAGCTTGTCCTCATTGGTGGTGCTCTCCGGGAGAGTCTTTGCCTTCTCAGCGTGCTCCTCAAAGTCCTCCTGTCAGTTATGGAAGTGGTTGCATAATTATCCAATAAGAAATTGATCCTTATCCTATAAGTAGTAATATTCTTCACGTAAAGGTTAACTACTAAGAATGGATGGCTTTTGCGTGTGGATCATGAATAGCCGATTAGGGAACACACAATTGATCATTATCCTTTTTAAGAACTAGTTACGTTCATCCATTCTTTTGCCATTAAAGTATAAAGAATTTTTCTTAAGGTCTGAAGAATCGGAGTATATCCCCCTCGCATAACCACTTACAAAGTAGCAGTTTAGGAACGGGAATCCCTAAAATTTAGTAGTTTCGCATCGCTAAAACGACCTAATTATACAGTACCAAAACTCGTGGAAGGTGATCAAATTCTGTGATGAAAAAAAACAGATCTGTGTAAAATTACTAAAATATCACATTCATCTCTTCTAATTAACAGATCAGTCATAAATGAAAATGGTGGATTTCATTAATTCACGGATGAACGCAAAAGATCACACATAAAAATAATAGGCGAAACGATCTGCACTACATATCAACGAAGGCAGGTGAAAAAATTGAATTAATTCAACAGAATAGGGGGATGAAATCAAGAATACCTTCAAACCCATATCTTCAAGAAAAAAATCACTGATTCAGTCGCTAGTGACGGTGGCGATGTGTGTGTTGTGTGTGTGAAGGGTGATGACTGGTGGGACTCCATTTATAGCAAGAAAAGGACTCCGGCGGAGAGATCAAGAAAAATGCCCTGAAGATTGAAATAGTTTACAGTTAAAACCCTTCAGATATAAACGAATGCAAAATAAACCTCCATTCCACATGTCACATGTGGCAAATGTGAAACCTTCTTCCACATTTTTATTTTATAATTTCATGGTATAAAACTTAATTGAATATATGGTGTAATAAAAATATTTTATTGAAATTTATATATTTGACGTACATTTTCCTATAGGAGAAACATAAAATTTTATTAATCAAAATCAAACCCATCCACTTTTTAAAATTCTCACGTATAGATATTACTGTAGTTGATACTAGAAAGGAAAATTACAATTTTAACCAATTTTGAATCGAAATTATATTATTTTATGGATAAATGAACATAAAAAGAATGATACAATACATAGATAGCCTTTGATTCAAGTGATATTAACTGAATTTTTACAAACAAGACCATCTGGAATACATAGCCCGAAGACGTTCGTGGTCTAGGTGGCCACGAATCACGACCGTGCACACCATCCCAGTGTGTCGTTGTGGGTCGTGGTGGTTCGTGAAGGCCAAAACAACATACAACGTCCAATGAAACTCTTTCAATTCGTTTGACCTCCTTGACCTTGTTAACAACTAGTTTGATTTTTTTGCCTAATATTTACCTATAAATATCACCACACACCTTCTTATATATCACACAACACCTTCTTATATTTGACACATCCTTCTCTCATTTCATTCACATTTGCACATTTGTGTTGCTTGATCTTTCAAAAACCATGACTCCCAGAAGGATGAATTGGTTGGAAGATGAAGAAGAGAAGTTAGCACAAACATGAGTGTCGGTTTCGGAAGACAGATATAGTCAAATGTCTAGAAATTTTTGGGAAAAAGTTCAAAGCGTTTTCTATGGCTTAATGAGTTGTCCAAGTCGAAAACTTGATGACATATGTTCGAAGTGGCGCGATATGAGGGTTAAATGTTGCGAGTACGATGGAATTTACAACTTTTTTATAAACAATATACATGAAGACGATATCGATCTGGTTAATGTGGACATGGATCACTACGAAAACACAAACCACAGATGTTTTGCACATCTCAAAGTTTGACAAAAGTTGAAGAATTCTTCAAAATAGAAAAACATTGTTTAAAAAAATATAGGGTTAAGTTATTGAATAAAAAACTAGTTTAAAAAATATATATGTTTTTATTATATTTTCATTGTATTTTTGAATTAAATTTAATTAAAAAAAATGATGTGGAGTGATGTGTTAGTGGTAGTTATGTATCTCATGGTTTTAGTGGTAGGATTTGATGATGAGGTGACACCCACCATTATAATGATTAGTGGTATTTATTGTGGATGTCCTAATGGTATGAAGTTCACTACAACCATATTCATATTTATTTTTCCTTCTAGATTGTCTAAAACCTAAAGGATGCCATTCAATCACGGAGAACAAATGGTATTTCATATAATGAAATAAAAATCTAATTGTCGTTATAATTGTTGCATATATGAACATTTAGAAGATTACCCGGAGACCAATTTGGGGTTTAACTTGAAACAACATATCCATGAGGGTTGTAATTGTCAAAAGTTGTAAAACCGAGGGTTATATGAATACTAACGGTTAAAGATAGACACAACGAAGCATATTCTGGTTTATAATTGCTTGCATGTGGCGCAATTCATACGGTTGGTTGCCTTCCCCCGAATAAGCATAACTACATACACCCCTTTATTGTTTATATTATTGCTACTAAAAGGTCAAATTTGCATTATAAAAAGATTGATATAATAATTTCATTTTAGATTATTAAAAAACATAGAAATAACATATTGTTACTTCTTATTACTTAACTAGACATATTTTAAGGGTTTAATCACAAAATATGACCACATTTGTCGATGGAATACAGACAAAACACATTTTAAGGGTTTAATCACAAAATATGACCACATTTGTCGTTGGAATATAGACAAATGATCACACTTTTTGGTTTTTACCGAAATGAACCATTTCGGACTAAAATCCTCTATAAAGTTTAGTTTCTTTGATTTGCACCGAAACACTTGGAAAAAAAAATATATATTTCCTTCGGTACTCGACTATCACACGTATTTGGACATGACATCATTCTATGACGTTGTATCAACATCTACTTCGATTTCTGTGTTCTTTGAAACACAACATTTCAAACCCCAAAATGTTATTTCTTTTACATTTTATACAAGAAAACGTTACATATGTTTGTCTTGTTGTTATATGCTTCACGAACGGCCGTAGCATTCTTGACCCATTATCATTAATGAATTATGTTCTTGGGCAAAAGAAGAAGAAGAAAATGGTGCTTTTCAAAGTAGACCTTGATAAGACATTTGATTTCATATCATGAGACTTTCTTGACTTTGTGTTATCCCAAATAAACTTCGGGATCAAATGAATGAACTAGATTCCGAAGTAATTTTAATTCAGGTAGAACCTCTATTCTCGTCAACGGATCTCCTACAAAGGAGTTCTCAGTTGAAAGAGGGGTTCGTCAACGAGACCCTCTATCCAAATTTCTCCTCATCATTGTCATTAAAGGTCTACATGTTATGGAGACATCTATGTAAAATCGTCTTTACCGATGTATTTCTCTCCTCCAAAATGGTTCCCTTTATCGCACTTGATGTACACTGATGACATTATGTTTATTGGGGAGTGGTTTGTTATTAAATTTTTAAATCTTAAGCGGGTCCTTAGATGCTTTTACTTGGCATCCAAACTTAAGGTTGATTTTTTTAAATAGCAAAGCCTTTTGCGTTTGGTGTTGAAAACGCAAAGATGTCGAGAATTGCTAATCTCCTTAATTGTGAAGTTGACACACTCCCATTTTCCAATCTATGTGTCCCAATAGGAGCAAATATGAAATATAGATGACACTGGAACCCGATAGTTGAAAATTTTAAGTCAAGATTGAACTTTTTGGAAGTCAAAAACACAATTCTTTGGTGGCAGATTGACAAGAGAGTATGAAGTAAAAAAACGAACGATTAAATGGGTGACATAGGAAAATATGTTGGCCCTTAAAAAGGCCAGCGACCTTGACATTGGTTATCTTACAAATCTTAACTTGACTCTTTTATTTAACTGGTGGTGAAAGTTAAAACTAGGAGTCGGTGGAGTTTGGACTAAAGTGATCAAAGAACTCCATAATGTTAGGTGCATTTTGTGCACTTTTTTGCATATATTTTTATCCTTTTTATGCATCTATTTAGTGTAATTTATTTAATTTTATATGAATTTCATAAAAAGTCAAGTTAGTTACCTGAACAACTTTACTTGCATGTTTTCACGGTCTTTTCAGGTGATCCGGAGGTGGAAACACATTTTGGGAGGTGCCAGGAAGCACAGGTGAAGGTTTCGGGGCGATTAGATATGAAACAAAAAAAGTTGGAAAATCAAGATTGCACCTAGAAGCAGAGAGGAACATGAGCCGTGTTAGAATTGCACTTACAAGATGGACACATGTCGTGTTTTACCAAGGAGGAGTCGTTGACCATGCTGAACACATACCGTATCATTTTAGCATATATTGACACGGGCCGTGTTGGTCTATTTCTGCAAGTTTGAGCATTGTACTTTGGAAGAAATCTCGAGGGTGGCATATCATTTTCTACACAAAACGGGCTGTATTGATTTACTTTATTTCAATACGGGCCGTGTTCGGTCCAAGAACTGCATTTTGGCAGTTTTTCATTTTTATTCTATCTTGGGATTTTGGGACATTAGACACACACACACACACATACACACTTTTGGAGAAGGGGATTTCGAGTGTTATTGCAAGGTTTTGATTGTAATCATTTAGAAACATTTTGTCATTAGATTTGTAAGTCTTTTTGCGGATTATTTCATCTTTTTCTGAATTTGTTGATTGTTCTAGCCATGTGTGGCTAGAACCCTAGTTTCTCCAACCTCATGTCTTGACATTTTACTTGTGATTTCAATCATATGACTTGATGTTTGATTTCAATTTCTATCTAGTTAATTTGTTTTTGTTTTAATCGAATGTTTGATTCTAATTGTAATTCTTATTGGGCATTTGAATTAGGGTTAGGTCATTCAAGTTATCCAATTGCAAAATTCATACTTGTTTTGTGAACTGGACTAGGTAACAAGCACTAAACTGATTTCCATTGAATGAATTCAGTTTAAATCTTATTCACACATTGTTACACTCCCGAGCTTGTGAGGAGTATTGGGTGTTGTTGGGAACATTCACATCGAACTTAACGCAATCTCTCAATTTAATTCTAAGAGCTTGTTTAGGTTAGGTTAGTGAGGTTAGGGTTAATCAAATAGCATATTTTGGTTAACTAATGTGGTGAATGGAAATTGTTAGAGCTTGTTAACACTTTCAAGTACCAACTTAGGTAGGATTTGGTAAATATCATGTTATCTTTGAATCACATTGCCAAATGGTCATACATAGAGTTGGAGCCTTTTACAAATTTTGAATCTATTCTAATTAGTTAATTTTCTACTTGTTTATTTATTCATTTACTTGAATTATTGCATATAAAATCCCCTTTTACTTTTGGTGACCAAATTACCTTATGTAAAAAGGTATAGACTTTATCCCCGTGTCTCTGTGGATCGACCTTGCTTATCCTGTACTACATTTTAGTAGAATATAGCAGTGCTCATTTGGAGTGTGTTGTACCCCTATCATTTGTTGGGTTTGACGCACCTAACAAATTGGCGCCGTTGCCTAGACATGATGTTACTAATTGTTTATGCCTAGATCTTTTCCTATAGAAAAACCATTGCCAGTTGACACGGAGATAGAGAAGACTACAAAGAGTTTACAGAAGCAAGCCAAGCTTTGTAAGAGGCATTCGGGTTTCAAGACTTCTTCATCATCCACCTCTCTGGTCATTAACATTTGGGAGGACATGCCCCTCTCAAGTGTATCCGAAACCGAAACAGAAACCCTCCCACTCTCACC